ACGCCACTGTCAATCAACAATCGTGGGAGGGGCCTGTGCAGAACTACATCATTCTGCCAAGAATCTGAGATCGGCTTGATATGAGAAAGGGGTTTGGATTTATAGAGATTTAAAAAAAAAAAAGCACTGGGTGGATTTTTATCATTATAGGGTGGATGTGTACACACACTGCCAAGACACATTTCAGTTCAAACGTGTAATTTTGCATGTAATTAAAAAATTACATGCAAAATGTAATTAAAAAATTAAATGCAAGTGAATTTTGCATTCGATGACCCCTTTAAGAGGGCGAGGAGAATGCATTGCTACAATTATCACACAGTATCACGATGAAAATGCAATCCCAAGTGTCCTACCCGTAAGTCTTTATGCATTTAGGAAAAATGGCATTTAAATGATATTTTTGCTTGGACATGTTAAACATCTAATCAATTTGGGTAATACATTTTTATTTTTATTTTGCAACTTATAAAGCGTTAAAATGTTTTTAATTTACATATTAAAACTAGTGTAGGAAATGGCAAATGTAAATTATATAATTGAATTTTCATTTTCGTTTTGAACTAAACGTTGCACATATGTATGGGAAAATGTAAATTTAAATAAAGAAATGCATTGCCATTTTACATATTGCATTGCCATTTTGCAAATTACATTTCAAAATGAATTTTGCTACCCATCTGCTTCCATACTGTTGGAATGGGACAGCACTTTTTTTTTTTTCCTACCTGTACCTGAAGAGCTCTGCTCAGAATATCACTGGCCATGCCTAGGAAAATAACAAGAACACAGTATTTATTAAGCACAAAATATTTATTTATTCTTTAATTAAACTTGGACACAGTCTTTGTGTTGTGAGTGCATTTTGTATCTGAGCGGAGTAAAGTAATTAATTGAAGGGTGTGCATCATAAGCAACCATTCACAGAGCGCCAATGCAGGAAAAAAAAAAAGAAAAAGTCCACAACCTATTAAACGCCACATCAGATTGATCAGTAAGTCACTAACATGGCAAAGTAAAGTAATTATTGACAGAGATTTTAGCATTACACAGCAAGAACAGAATATCAGAAACCTCTTCCTACTGGAAGCATTTCTCATGAAGCAGATCATTCTGACTGATTGAACATCCTGTACAAATGAATGGATGGAATGACACATTAAAGGACAGAAGGATGCATCAAAAGCACTGATAAAATAAATACAAGAGGACTGTACAATTCACAGTTTGGCAGTTGTGTGGGTCGCAGCCTTTTACAGAGATACTGTTGAAAATGAGGTTTAAAAAAACTCAAAGTCTGATGAAGAATATGGAAGAATTCAGAAAGAAATGACAGAAATGTGACTAAATTACACAACAAAATAAGATGACATCTTAGAAACATAACAAATAAAACTGTATAAACTGGGATGTGGGTTTTGGAAACAGATACATTTTGTACATGTGTATCTGTGTGAGCTAATATTCAATTGCTTGCATGTTCTCCCATATTGGATCACTTTTATGAAACAACAATTGAACTGCCCTACTAAAAGAAATTAAAATATTATCTCAACATCACCGACACTGTGAAAGAGCTCATAACAGAGCAAATGGAGAAAACAAACAAACAAAAAAAATCTTCAGCCGTTATTCAAAGCAAATAAAAATCATAGAGTTGATAAAATAGTAACTTAACTTGTGTGTATGAATGCAAAGTAGATCTGCTCTGTGCCAAGTCCGGCTAGCTTTTACATTATAGGTGGGGTTTATGGTGCACATAACAGGGGGATTGATTCACATGCATGTAATGTCAATGTGCTGCTCCAGCATTTGACATGCTACATTCGGGGTTCACACAACACTGATTCCAAAGTCAAACCTGCATTCAGTCCTTGTGTTACACTCTAAAGAGGGAATGTGGCGCACTTTGGGTTTCTGCAAGACCACAAGCACATACAATGCTCCTTGATATATTTAGATAGCAATTCTTAATTTTGTATTTTGGTATCTGCGACGCTTTGATGGCATGCATTAATACATTACATCATCGCAATGTAAACCATTTGTTCACTTCCTCTGTGCTTAGTACAGCTGTAGTACAGTATGGTAGTGCAGTATTGCTTATGAATGCAGTACAACGATCAGAAACCCAAGCATCAACAGCTGGAACTGCACTCATTTATCAATCTGCACAGACTAGCTCCTATTTAAACTTAAAATTATGTTAAATGTATTGATTGCAAACTCGCTTCAACAAAGGGGACAGTAAATATGTAAACCACCACATGACTGAAAAAAAGGCTTATGAAAAAAACTATTGCATTAGGAGCAGAAGGAAAATCATGCTAAACCACAGAGGAATGGCTTTTCCTCAGAAGTGAGTCATACCTTTAGAGGGAAAACTGATCAAGGCACCACATCGTCCTGAATTATTCATTTTCATGTAGGGATTTTGTCCTGTGGTCTGAAATAGTTTAAAAATGCTGGATATTTCTGTAAACAGCCAATGAAAGCCACTCAAAAGTGCTGTAAATTTATGAAAAATATTCTAAACAGTATTACTGAAAAGTAGGACTGATATTTCTATAATCAATCATGACAACTTTGAGCATTTGGCCTCTTATAAAACACAAGCAGCATGAATTTCAATTCTTACATCATTGTAAGAATGACTAAATTTATTCTGCTCGTGTTTTGTGAAATATGTCTATAGCTCCAAGAGCCGCCTGCTCATGCTACCGTAGGTTAGTCACTCACAGTATGTTGAATTATGGGGAAAATTTTTATAAAATGATACTCTATGGCAGTAGAATTGAAGGCCATGGTCCTGCGGTACTCTCAGCCAAACCCTTTACTAACACACCTCAATACAGATTCAAACATAAGAACTAAAAGGTCTTCAAAAAAAGGGAAAAAAGCGAAAGCAGTGCCCACAGGACTGTTTTGACACAAACACACCCCTCATGCCCAATTTCACATACACACACCTCATATTTACAGGCTCAAAGGCTTTGCACAGATGTGTCCATAATCCAACAGCGATCCAAAGCACACAGACATTTCAGAGATTGTGGTTTGATCCTGAAGCAGAGTTAAAAACGTATTCTAGAGTGTTGCAGAAACTCCCACTGCTCTGCAAACTAGTGGGCAATTCATTCATCCAGGAGAAAATGCTGCCTCCATGTCTGTAATCAGCTGTGTTGAGCTTGCATGATTATCCTTCTGCAAGTGTGCATTGATTAGCCTTACGCAAAAAACAGCGTCTGTTGTGGTGTTTGGAGCGCAGGGCGGCACTCTTATGCAGTCCTGGCTTTGCTGGGGCACATCGGGGCGTCTGGGCTTTTGACCACCAGAGGAAAAGTCTGCAGTGCTGGGCTGCCCATGGCTGGGTACGGGACCACACCGGCCGTAGCAAACATGCCCACTGGACTGGGCAAACCGGACCAATGGTTTGGATACACAGGGGCTGGCATCATCCCAGCAAAGGGGGCGGTGGGCATCAAGTATCCACCCTGCTGGAGGATGGGTGATGGGGTGCTGGTGATGCCATGAGGCATGATGGGACCCAGAGCAGCTGACAGCGGACAGGACAGTGGTAGATGGAACTTTACAGCTGCCTGAGGGATTGAGCCCCTTATCTAGGAAGAAAAAGAAAGAGACCGACATGGTAGGAAAAGATGTGAATGAGGCATGAAGACAAAGGCTTTTAGCTGCACAAGCACAATGTTGCGTTCCCAAATGTGTCCAAACACAATTAAGACCTAGTATGCGTTCCACTCTCAGCATTGCCACAAGGTAGGGGTGTGCGATATTGACAAAAAGAGATATCTCGATATTTTCTGGGATTTTATCAATAACAATATTTTGCTGAGTGTGTTATTGCGCTGATATCTTAAGGACTACCGTGGACAGCTGACTTCTAAAGTTTTTGATATTCTTTATATTCTGTGTGATGGTGATAGAAATTAATCTTTTTCAATACGTTTTAATTGACTTTTACCTTTTATGAGCATTTTTACCTTCATAAAGCCATTATTTCTAAAAGTGTGCATTAGTGATGCGCGGATGAGCTAAAACGTCACCCGAATCCGCAGCTTCAAATAAATTATCCACCCGCCAACCGCCCGCACCTGTATTTTTGTCTGATTTAGATAACCGCACCCGACCCGCACCCGATCATCACATTAGGGTTCGTTGACTAAATAATGTTTTGTTGAATAACTTTTAATGTTAATTTACAGTTTATTCAATTTCTGTAGCCTATTTAAAACACGTTCATAATTTAGAAAATGTAGTTAATACTTGCATCATTAATGATTTATTTTATCCACCCGCGACCCACCCGCTAATAATCAGAATGCATTTTTTTATTACCCGACCCACCCGATCCACGGATTATCCGCAGCGCCCGCGGATATAACCGCCATCCGCGCATCACTAGTGTGCATCATCTTTTGAGTCAAATTCTTACATTTAATCAGTCAATTAGAATAATAAGACATTTGAGCTGTTACCAAGCAAATAAAATCAGTATCAACAAAATTCATCTTTGCTTAAACATAAAACGTTGAATACTGATATTTGAAATTATTGAAAAAATGAAAAGATACTTTAAATGTGAAATTAAAACCGAGAGTAGGTGGCAGCAAATCACTGTTAATAAGCGAGTCATTGCGATTGAACTGAATAATTTAAACGGTTGATTCATTCAGGAACGAAACACCGTCATGTTGCTCAGAGACGCAAAAACAAAAAAAAGTGTTGTGGCTGTGTTTGGAATTAATTTTGCTTGCAAAATAGAGCAAAAACAGGCAATATGGTATGTAATGTTTATTAATAATGTTTATTGAACTGTTGTATAAAATCAATATCACATTTGTAATCATGCTGATTTTTGGAGAAATAAAACAGTACTCTGCATGTGATATTGATTAACTATGTGAAATTATATGAATATGTAAGTTTTCTGCCCCCATATCTTGAATTTTGTGATCATTCAAAATGCATTTGAATAGTCTAACCTACTAGACTTCATCATATAATGTATGTATGCACTCTGTAGGTGTGTTTTGTTTGACTTTTTTGCGATATACTCGATAATGTCAAATCGCACATCATTAAAACCACAATTACGATATTATCGCAGACGATATATATCGCACACCCCTACCACAAGGCCATTGATTTTGCACACCTGGGCTTTACACAATATCTCACTCATATTGTTTAAGTCGGACATAACAATCCTAAAGACATCAAAAATGGTGTACAGTGTACAGCTGGCTTAAGACACTTGTTATTAGTGTTGTCAAATGTAGCAGTAGTTTAGTACCAAGTTACTTCAATTTTAAAAACGTAACGACACCAGCCAATGACACAGAGTACCGAGTGGATCCGGTACCTAGTGATAGCTTTTAAACATTCCTGTATGTGTGCACGCACTCTATGAAGAGTGTTAAAGGTTTATTTTGCGGCATTGAGCATTGTAGCCAATCACAGACCTGTTTGAGCGTGCGAATACAAATGGCCAATCAGAGGCTTTTAAGTCAGTATCCACTTAATATTCCAGATATGGCAATACAATATTTAGCATGAGCTTTGCACACTCGTGAATCATTACACAATGTATAAACAACGTAAATGGTTTCATTGAGATTCATTCGATTTAAAGCTGCACTACAAAACTTTAGCCTCTCTATCACAATCTGTGGTTAAAACATGAAATTGCCTTTTGCCTTTTGCCTTTTGAAATCCCTTTTGAATGGGAACTCACACTACATCCCTTTTAGGGGATTGTATGGGGAACACCTCCAGCATGACCAGTGTTTGAAGCATGTGTCAAAACACAACAATGAACATGACATTGGTCAGTGACAGCCTATGATGTCACTACCAGTGTAACCGTCAGTATAAAAGGGCATCTGTAGGACATGCCATCCACTTCTTGTCTGAAGGAGACGAGCATGAATACCTGAAGATGGCAACAGTTACATGCGTAACATGAGACTTTCCCTTTCAAATCTTTTTAGAGGATCGCAATGGGGAACAAATACCCACTCTGAAGGGACAGACTGCCTAAATGGCTGACATTGAAGTCCCAATCCCTAAGGTACACACCAGTGACCAGTGACTTAATTCCTTATGGCCAAAATCCGAGCTACAAACCCTATCAGAGAAAGTCCCAGAATGTACCCTCCCTCTCCTCTTTGCAGGACCAAGTTAAAAAAGAAATTTAGCCTGTGGGCAGAGCTCAAGGGTTCAGCTGTCAGAGAAAACCTTTAAGGCAATATAGTCATTGACTGGAGCTCTGAGAATGCCTCAGCATGACAACCCTCCAAAGGAGGCCCAACTACATTCAACAATCAAGACAGCTTCCAAGGAGGCTCACAGACAGCCTAACAACGTAGAATTGCTACTCAAGCGGAGTTCTGGGGAGCGGAGGCCAAAAGGGATGACTCTCTACAGCGAGAAGAGACCTAAGAGGAGCAGCGCTCTTTGAATTAAAGACAGTAACCAAGGAGGCTCACCAGTAGCCTAACACTACTCCCTAAATGAGCTCTAAGGACCGAGGCCTCAACATAAAGATGATCTAAAGCAAGAGGAGGTCCACATTTGCCCTACACTAAGAATAGCTATCAAGGAGGCTCACAGAGAGCCTAACAACTTGATACTGCTGTCCAGGTGGAGCTTTGAGGAGTGACCTCAGCCAAAAGACTCTCTAAGCGAAGCCTAACAACTCTCCTCTCCCAAGTAAGGCTCACAGAGAGCCTAACAACTTGGCACTACTGTCTGGTTGAGCTCTAAGGACGGAGGCTCTGCATGAAGACTCTCTGAAGCGAGAGGCCAAACTACACCCTACACACTGGACAACTTCCCAAGGAGACTCATTGAGACCCTAATAACTCAGAACTCTTATCACAGTGGAGATCTGGGAAACTTTCTATAGCAAGAGGAGGAACAACGTTCATCTTAAAAGGCAGTAGCCAAGGAGGCTCACAGACAGCCTAACAACTTGGCACTACTGTCTGACCGAGCTCTAAGTCAGAGGCTCTGCATTAAGACTCTCTAAAGCAGGAGGCCTAACTACATCCCACACATGGGACAACATCCCAAGGAGAATCACAGAGACCCCAGCAACTCAGAACTCTTATCCCAGCGCAGATCTAGGAAACAGAGACTTTCTATAGCAATAGGAGGAATAACATTCCTCTTAAAAAGGCAGCAGCCAAGGAGGCTCACAGAGAGTCTAGCAACTTAGCCCCTACCTGGGCTCACAGGGACAGAGGCCTAGCATAACTCTCAAGCGAGAGGTGGCCTAGCTACATCCTATGGCTGTCAAGTAGGCCTAAGAAAGCGCCTAGCAACCAGGCGGAGCTCAGGGGAATGGAGGCCTTAGCAGGATGACTTTCTATAGTGAAAGGATGCCTAACAAATGCTCCTAAGCCAGGAGTACCAAGGAGGCTCACAAAGAGCCTGCAACTCAGTACCACTGCCTAACCGAGCTCTAAGAACAGAAGCCTCAGTATGACAACTCTCTAAAGCAAGAGGAAGCTTAACCATGGTCAACACACTGGACAGCATGTGGAGCTCTAAGGATCAGAGGCCTCAAAAGAGATGTCTCTCATAGTGAGAGGAGGCTCTTAATTAAAGGCTGTAACCAGGGAGGCCCAAGAGAGCCTAACAACCTGACACAACCTTAATTCAAGCTCCAAGGACAGATGCCTCAACAAGATGACTCTGTAAAGCCTTATTATGTCCTAGTCCAGAATAGCTATCAAGGAGACACACATAGCGCCTAACAACAGCGGAGGGGCAGATTTATCAATAATATATGCCCCAACTCTCACTGCATCTAAAACCTTTAAATTAGATGTTCCACATTATTCTGTTTACTCAGTTCACATTACTCTGTACCACATAATTAGAAACAACAGGAGGAATTTGGAAAATAATGCACTTTCCATCAGATTCCTTCCATGCTCCTCCTACAATCCCTGTGATCGATCGCGTCTAGCCACTCTGATGGCAGTGGGACATGAAAAGCAGGAAATAGGCGCAAGAGTGCATCGTTTGTTCAACTCCCTCGAGAGCCGAACATGCTCATGCAATGCTGACTACTTTTCCTCGCGTGAGAATCAAAGAAGAACAGAGCTTCTTACAATCTCTTTTAGTCAGTCCCATGAATGCATAAAAAAGTACATCCAGCTTTTTGATTACATACATGCACAGAATGCATTTAGCTTGCTCGAGAACTGAACATGCGTGCTCCTCACCCAAACGCATAAACACATTGAGTCGTGTTTGTCCTAAGGTGTCAAATAACCTCTGACATGGAGGTACACACTCTCTAAAAACACTTGCCTGGGTGTTTTATAGTAGTCACATTCTTTGCACATGCACAAACAAATGGTCTCCTGAAGACAAAGAAGACAAATGATGATGTGTTCTTCAAGTGCCCTATTACACCTTTTATACATTCTCCATAGCGATCTTCTAAAGGGACGCAGTGTTTCATTCGCCTTCTTAGGGAACCTTGATTACATGCGTAACCTGAGATGTTACTGTAGGTCAGATGAGAGTAATTGATGGGTGATTCCCACAAATGTCAGTATGTACTGCTGTTTATGTTGAACGCTAGTAGTTAGCTGACAAGTTCAAGCTCTACACAGCAACACTGTTTATTGCAGCAACAAGCTCCAAACATGCATCAGCACCCACAAATGTAATATATTAGTCAGACATTCTTTTTTACAAACATGATGCAAGAACAAATGATGTAAACCAGATTGTATGTACTCACTCAAAAATTTTCAACACAAAAATTTTCTGTCATTTGTTAAAGGCAAAGTTCACCTTCAGTTGCTGGTCCCCACTGACTTCCATAGTATGGGGAAAAAACACTATGCAAATCAATAAGGACCAGCAACTGAAGGTGAACTATCCCTTTAAGGTTCTGAAGGACAAACAGTATAAAGTACCTGATTGGGGATTCTGGCCATTGGAGTGGGGTTGGTCTGGAAGGACTGATGAGATCTCTGCGGTCTACTCTGACACACAGAGGGGCGGAGCTGAGGGGCAGAGGCAAGAGTTTCTTTTGCCCAATCATCAACCAGCTTGTGTAGGTCATCGGTGAATGTACCGCTTTTGTTGTTGCTGTTGTTTGCTTGAGCCTGAACAAGCACCGTGATCGGCCGAGAGGATGAAGCAGGCATGGCTGCGGGAGGCAGGTTCTGATTGGATGCTGAAGTCACATGGGCAGCACCAGTACTATGAGACCCTGAGAAAGAGATTGAGATAGACCTCAAGCAAAAACTCAGAGAATTCACCCTGAGGTCCTCTGTAACCAATCTGCTGCTCACAGACTGTTGATGTCATGCATCACGTTACGCAGTGAAGTGTGGTTAAAATCACAGTTAATACAAAACAAGCCCTAATGAATAGATGCATTATTAGAAGTCTAAACATTTGGTTTGACAATGATTTAATAACAATTTCTAATAAATGATGCATTATTCATACTTGGGGTGCAAATAGATTTGATTATTTGACACGATTCATAGTTAGTTTCAACAATACACTAAAAACAATTGTGACTGGAGAGACAATCGAACATGCTCATGCCAAGATGTGTCACCTTTTGAGAAATTACAAAGAAATTGTTTACAAAATAGCTTGGTGTTTGAATGGCATTACAATTCAGCAAAATTTTGTGGCCTGGGCATAATGTAAGAAATGCAGTCTTGCCGAGCATGTTAGTTTAAGTTAAACTGTCAACATGCATTATTCATGAAGCTAGATTTAAACAAGTTTGAGGTTTGTTCCAGCACAGTAATGCAAGAACAAACACTGAGTATGCACATCGGGTGTGCTTGAAATGTGATGGTGGATCTGATCGTATCTGCGCGTTTCTTGTTGAGTACTTGTTTCTAGCCTAAAATCAAGCAGCTGGATGATTACAGAACCAAACAAAGAACAAACACCCATACACATATGCACTTAAATGACCAGGAATACAGAAATCATAAAGGTTTCAATAAGCACTTGACTGTATCGCACAGATATCACCATGCACTAGAAAAAAAAATCAAATTAATATAAAGAATCAAAACGGTTACGCACATTTCGCAACCCGCTGTTGCAAACATTAAGCACTTATCAAACAGGTGATCGCTCATGCCAACAAAAGAAATGAAAACGGCAAAGAAAAAAGAAAAAAAGGTAGACAGAGGGACTAGGACTGAAGAAGAAATGAGTGGGATAGTTACTACTGCTGCGCTCTTTCCCTAGACATAGCCGTTTCAGAGTGGACCCTACAAGAGCAAAACAGCACAGACAGAGGTGTTAAGGGGCGGGGAAGGCACACGGCACAGCCCATTGGACAAGCTGCTGCACAAGAAAACACAGCGACCAATCAGTGAACAGATACAGAATCAGGTGCAGGGAGGCTTCATCTGTGATATCATGAGGTGTTGGTGAGTGACGTGTTTGAATGGCTTATGAGCTAAAAAGGCCTTTAGTACAGACGACCTTCAAGCTTGAACTCTGAATGAACTTCAACACTCTTGTTTGACTAAATGTCCTACTTTATAAAATGGTTTGACAAGCACGATTGTCTGTTCTTTCCTGGCCTATTCCCTATTGAAACAGGATGTTAGTTTGGGACAAACTGAAGACAGCAGAATTCACACATGACTGCTTGTAGCATGGATGAAAGCAGTGTAGACTCTTTACATTCATCTCTGGAGGACCTCACACCACCATCATTAGCTATTCTATTTTGAGTCAAGATTCGAGGGTAAAGCTCATGGTTATCACCTCTAATGACAGCTGTCCATTCATTTGCTTCTGTTGTAGCATTAGATAGAGAGAGTATTTATAATAAGGGACATTCTTATTTTTGTGAGCCTTTTACTGGACAATAAACCATATTGGGCAGATGAGCTAATAGACATGGACTAAAATCCACAACATTCTAATTTAGATTTCATGTCAAAATATCAGTCTTGGTGAGTTTTCACTAAACACAGTCAGTTATATCTTAAGTGAACATAAACGGTTAGAAAAGTAGCCTAACGAATGCTAGTCAGTATATTAGATCTGTGCATAGCGTGACAGCATCCTACTGTATAAACCTGCCGCTGTTTGTCATCATCTGTTAATCAAACAACAAAAGAAAAGGACAGAATTAATCATTGCTCTTCACTGAATATTGTTCATAACTTTGTTATGAATCAATTTATGCTTAACTTATATGGTGAAGTCTATGCAGTGATTTATTTGTACATTTGATTACTTTAATCAATTTCTGTATAGTAGGCTATTATAGGCTAAATTGTTTATTTTATTTGTATATTTTTTCTTTTTTTAATTCACTTTCATTTAATTTCTACTTTTTTGAATTCACTGTTGTTTTGACAGTGAAACTGTCCCTGGCCCCGACAAAGTTTTGCTTGGGGCCCCCAGAAGTCTAGGATCGGCACTGCTTACAAGTGACTATTGTAGACAGAATTTCTGTCAAGCTTTAAAATGTCATACTATAAAATAACATTTAAACAGGAAAAGCGTAAATAAAACAAAATTGAAGCATATAAAAAGTAAACTATTGAAACATAAACTATTGAAACTAAAGTGCTGCATGCTACATTTTAAATTACAAGGGGGGGGGCGGGGGAAGATTTTTTCACACAATGAAGGTTAGAATACTGACCAAATCATATAATTTTGACAAGGACGGAGACCAAGTATAAAAAGAAATGAGCTTCCTATTCATAGCTATGACGCACTGGTGGGCAAATTCATGTTTTCTCCAAAATGAACTCTCACCTAGAGGAACAAAATACTACAAGCCGTAACAGAAACACAAGGTAAATATAATATGCTTCTTGGACAGCATCATATTATAATCATGCAGGTGACAGAGATAAAGAATTCAAAATACAGCCCTGATGTTCTTCACAGCAACCTGCTTGTGCCCGTGGCATGCTCGTCTTCTGACTCCAAACATGACACCGCACCTCAATCATCGTCTCATTGGGATTTACGTGGAATGAAAAGGAAAGAAGGCACAGATATACAGACGATACAAAAGCTTTGGCAGACATCCATACACACTCTCTCTGCTTTCAGTGAAATGTTAAGAATGGCCATGTTTGAGGAAAGACAGCTCATGTTATCGGTCAAAGCTACAGCCCAGCACAAAGCGTTTGTACAGAAGACAAACTGAAGGCCAGATGAGCAGACATCCAGCTCTTTCCACGAACACGATACACTTTGGTGTAGATGCACAAATCTCAAAGTCTTTTTCATGAGAACGTCTGGATATATAGGATGAACTATTATCTAACCATTTTGTAATCATTTAGACCTTTCTACATACAGTACGGAGGACAGCGAGGTAAATAATTCATTTTCTTTTGTAGTTTTGACTGCATTTGTCAAGCTTAACCATTCAACTTTGAAAGAATAAATGATCAAACAAATATTTTCTTTAAATTTAAAGTAAATATAAGTTCAGCAAAAACTACAAGCCGAAATTTGCTCCCAAACTAGAAGTTTTGCACCCTACTGAGTGATGGCTTCATTTAGGATTTAGGAAGTCTGCAACCCTGCTACCTATTATGGATGGGCGATATGGGCTTAAAAATATATCACGGTAATTTCTGATATTTATTGCGATAACGATATCAATGACGATAATTTAGGGAATCCTGTTTCTTTAGAGAAAAGTATTATCTTTCCTATTTTTACCCAAAATAGGGTGTTGTGAGCATTACTGAGTACACACGTAATGTAATGACTGTTTAATTCATACTGGAAGCCAGAGGGCGCCCTTGCGCAGAAACTCCACATGTGTATAGTAGAAGTAATGCTCCAGGAAGAAGTATCCAGTGATCGCTGTAGCTGAATAAAACGCAGATAGAGAAATTTTAACTGAGGAAACCTGAAGACAATAAACATGCGATTGCACAAAATATATGGTATCTGTGTTCTTCAAGCAATCTTGGGTATTTTTTATAAGGATAAAGTATATTTATAATGCAATGCTTATCGACATAGCCTTTATCACACTGTATATAATGCTATTAAATAGTATGATTTCTGCCTTATTCTGTGATACGAAACCACATCTGATCACAAAAATAAGTTATTTCAAACACTCAACTATGTTATGAAGTTAATATGGAGAAAAAGCATGTCAATAAATTAAAATATCTTTGTTGGACAACAGGTTTGTAAACGACTCGTACACATGTGAAACTGTGTTGCACACGTGCTACTGTAGCACATTTACTCAAGGCTCAGACCGATTTTTGTCGCACTGTACAGCCCTATGTAGAAGGAGCTGCTCAATTTCACGTCCGCCTTCCTTCACGTCACTCCACACAGTCGCACACAGAAATATGTCAACAACTAGACTTTATTGTTATTATCGCGGGAAGACGAATTCTTATCATGTGGAGAATTTTTACCGGTATATCGCAAACGATAAGATATCGCCCATCCCTACTACCTATGATTTAATTTGATGTATTTTATTTCATATTTATTATATATTTTTAAGCTGCATCTTAACTGTAGACTGTTAACATTTACTTTGACCTCATGAGGTTGACAAATACCACATTACACACCTCCTTTCACTGAATATCTGCTGCTTTTTTAAGTATCAGACCCGATTTTGTACCTTATTCATGGAAAGTGCCATCTGAAATGAAGATGGAAATGTAATGGCTGAGAATGCCTGATGATCACTGAACGAGTGTGTGGATGAGTATTGGAAGTGAACATGACAGAAATGCAGTACAGAAAAACCAAAACAAATCACGAAAGAAGAGCAGAAAGAAACAGGGAAAAGGGAATTATGGGTAATAGAAGAAAAGTAGAACAAATACAAACAGATGGACATAGACACGGGTCCACTGAGGAATCTAGTGCGTGGTTTGCTACTAGATTTATAGGTGATTCGCTCAGATGTTTGGTGGTAAACGGTCCAGCCTGTGGAGAAATGAATATAAGAGGGAGAGAGAGAGAAAGAGAGACAGGTGTAACAGCCGACACAGGCAGCGATCAGATCAGTACCCCATCAACAAGCATCATATCAGCAACACACCACACTGGTTAAGCGTCTCAGAAAACAGCGGTTAATGTAGATGTGTACTTGTGCCTGTGTGTTTCTAACAATAGGAACACTTTTCTGGAATTTATATAACAGGTCACAGTCCTCTTATGCATCACTAGACACTTCCACACATGAAACACATTTACGGTTAAAGAACTGTGAAACTGCCATATTAACCATTCAACTCCAAGAAGATTAGCTGATTTTACTTGTAACTACACCATTATGATAGCATTGAAGACTATTCCAAATTATCCATGTCTTCTGTTGCAAATATTTAATTGTATTATTAAATTTTTTCCTGTCACTTCACTGCTCAAGAAAGTCCTTAGTAAAGTGTTATCAATAATATGTTAACAATAATATGACTGGTGGGTGTGGCATTGCATACAATGGCGGTATTGCAGGCGTAGCAAGCTGATGTTCTTAAGGATATGGACGAAATTACTTGCTTGACTCCCGAGATGAAGAGCTCAGCCGAACAACTGAAGTGCTTTAAGTCAAGAAGCATATGGCTCGCACGATCCGTCGTTATGTGACAGGGTTGGTGGTGACCAAGAGACATCTGTGGTTCAACCTCACAGATATCCATGAGAAACAGAAGTCGGCTGGATGCTCCTGTTGTTTAGTTGGGGCATTTTGCCAATGCAGTGATTGCTGCTGTCGTTAAGTTTCACACTGCAAAGAAGAAGTAATCTACTGCTTTTCAGTAAATTATGCCACCGCGGGTTCCTTGCAGGAGCCAAGAAGCAGCCAGGTAGTCTGGACTCCCCCCTAAAAAGAACTGGGGTCAATGGCCTTGCTCAACAGAACACTTGTGCCACGTAAGCACATCTGAGGCTGGCAACTAAGGTTTCCCTGACCTTTAGGGTCAAAGGGCCCCTCTTTGGAGAATTGTGTCAAACCGTTAAAGCGTAATTGCTTTTCTTCTCAGTGCCCTCGAGATTCTGTTCTGCTAGTTTCTGCTAGTGTTTTGCATCTTGTCAAACCAATAGATCAACAGCTCCTCACTCATGTTCTGAGCAACAATGCCTTCAGAGCACAGCAGTCATTCCTCGAGTCATACGTTTACAATGATGTGCTTACAAAAAGCATTGCCCCCATGGTGCATGCTAGGCCACTTATATTGAATCAGGCTTTATGTTTTGTGACAGGTTTTTTGGGGAAGGCCTGCAACAGATAGAGGCATTCTATACTCCCCCGATCTCATGGCTTTCACTATTCTGTGCCCTGTCAGACAATAAGTTTGGCTCATATGGGCCTTAACATTTGCATGGTCGACCAAAGTCCTATTCCACAGGCTTCATCTGTAGAACCACAGAGAACCATCTCTAGAACTCTTCCATAGAAAAGGGGTATAACATCCTGCCTGCCTCATTTCAATGAATTACGCCCCACAATGTTAGGTGTCCTGGTGGTTCTGATTATTTTGCAGGAAATGTAGTCCAAGGTAGAGAAAGTAGCTATAGATTAAATGCGTCCATCTCAGAAGGAATCCAGTTTCTACAGCCGTTTTTCTTAGTGTTGTCGAACAGCGGTTTCATTCCAGTCCTAGACCTGCATCTACTGAACTTTACTATTAGAAAGTGCTGTTTCAGAATGTTGACACAGAGGCACTGAAACACAGGAAAGCAACTCCGGGGCATATGTGCTTTAAATTATCTTGACGGTTGGCTGATTTTGACAAGGCTGTTCTCGGTCACCAACAGAGGCCGGGTCTGAAGATAAACCCTCAGAAGGGCGTTTTGTTGTTGAGGAAACAGACAGTTCCCTTTCAAGGGAACCTCGAACTGCGTCCTCTAGGGGTCGCTATGGGGAATGCCTCGATGTGACCCATGTCTGAAGCATACATTCAAAAAACACCAACAACATGTTGGCCGGCGACAGCCTATGACGTCACTACCGGTGCGACTATAGTATAAATAGGCGCCGGGAGAACACGTCATCCTCTTCTTCTTCTGCTTCGTTTTGTTTGAAGCATGCATTCCGGTGGTAAGAGCGATCTTTCTTCCCTTATTATGGCGAGCACTAGCAAGACGTTTAGGAGATGTGTGGATCCGTGTCTTTATTTCGTTATTTGACACCTGATGACACACATGATCTTTGCGTCTTTTGTTTGGGGCGAAGAGCACGCACGCAATGTCCTCGAGGGGGCAATCTGTGTTCACTGCGAGCGTTTTTCAATGAAAAATCTCCGCTCTCGTCTGTCTCTCTTTTCGAGGAAGGAGGGGCAGCCGTCTGCTCGCCGCGGTTTAGGACCCGCCGCTGCTGAGGCACAGAGGAGAATGAGGTCGTGGGGATCGCAGGTGGATCTGGCCGATGAGTTTAAAGAGG